TAATTTTCAAAACCAATCCGTAGTGCGTTCCTGGTTTTGGCGCGACACCACCGCGTCGCGCAGCTACCCTAATTATTAATGGTGTATATGGGCTACTGTAAAAATGGATCATCCTAATATTCACGTCACCAAATATGCTCCTCAATTTGCAATGCCCATCTCATAAATAAGAGTACAAAAAGTATTTTAAGTTATGGCGATGCGTCTAGCAATCATAATGTAATACTTCCTATAATGAGTGATCAATATTGAAACTCTAAAAAATTATAGCTTGTTGGTAAAATGTCTTACAAAGACTAGCTTAGACGTTAATGATATAGTATCAAGTTAAAAGGTTGCATGAAAAAGTTACAATTTTTAGCCAAAGTTGATATTTAAGTAAATATAGAGTGCTAATTTAATTGAACTTGTCGGAAAAGTATGAAGGCGTTAAAAAAATTGGTAGACTTAAAATTGATAATAAAATATTATTAGGAGATTCAAGGACGGGTTACATTAAAGGAAAATATTTCGGAGTTCTATAGTTATATTTATGTTGTTGCTTTTTATTCAAAATTATCAGATAATTTTAAAGAAATTCTCAAAGATCCTTAAAGCTTAAGAGAAATTGACGAAAATGTATACCAATTTTATAGATGTATTATGAATAACTATGCATTTAATCATCATAACATTTATGTGTCTATTTCTTTAAATAATATCTTTTCGTATTTTACAATAATGATTTTAGCAATATGTGGTCACATAAATGTTAATACAATGTAGTGACTTATTTACTTCAAGTATTAGTAACTTTTACGTAACTGAAGTTTTAGAGACAATAAAGAACATACATGGAAAATTTGTACTAATTTTTACGGTGTTAATATACAAAATTGCAATCAAGAAAGCAGATAAAATCAAAAAGGACATGAATTCAATTATATTATATAGAACTTATAATTATTGAATATATTTTATTTATTATATCACGAAGTTATGTAACCATAATGGAATATGCTAATTAAAATTAAAAACTATTTATACAGTATTAACATAAAAATCAACCCAAATTTATATTTTTTACTTTTAAATTTTGATTAGGAAAAAACCTCTACGTAGGGAGGCAAATGTGTTATGGGTCTATTTACTTGTGATTAGGGTTGTTAAATGGAGTAGGTCACTCCAGAGTGGCTCCGGTTTGACTCCAAACCAACTTGGAGTAGATTAAAATTTAATAAACCAGAGTAAACCACGCTATTAAACCAGGCTAATAAATGGAGTAAACCAGTTTATTAAACCAGTTTAACAAACTAGTTTAACAAACCAGTTTAACAAATCAGTTTAATAAACCAGTTTAATAACCCAGTTTATTAAATAATATGTATATACATGTTATAATTATAGCATATCTTTATTTTACAAATAGCATATATTAAAAGTAACATGAGTATAATAAAAGTGATAGATCACAAATATATATATTTTTGCAATATCTTAAGTAAACTGCTCTAGATATTTTAAGGAAAAGATTTCTTGCAAGATTTTATATATTTATAGTTACTTTAGTTTCTAGATAAATACATACTCTAATTATTACCCAGTCCTCTTCTAATAAAATATCTATTAGAAAGTGGACTATGCAATTCTTCAAATAATAAATAAGTAAATTAATATTTGTTTATTTTTATTATAGTGATTTATACCACTACTCTAGAGTATAAACTAGAGTATTACTTTGGAGCATTGCTCTGAAGTATTGCTTTGTTTTATTGCTCTGGAGTATTGTCCTGGAGTATTGTTCTGGAGTATAAACTGGAGTATAAACTGAAATATAAACTGAAGTATAAACTGGAGTATAAAACTGGAGTATAAACTGGAGTATAAACTGGAGTATATGCTAGAATAATTAAACCAGTTTGGTTTGGTTTAGATTTACCCCACTGGTTTATAACCCAAACCAAACCAAACCAAACCACTCTATTAACAACCCTACTTGTGATGGATAAATATTAAGAATCATTCCTGGAATTTAATAAACAATTTAAATTGAACTAACACTAAATAATGCACTTGCTTTAGATTTTGTTTAGCAATATTTAAATTTGAGCTATATAATGAATAACATTAGATAGTAGTGATAATTATTTATGTAACACCAATAAATATAAATATTTTTGGTACTTGCAAAATTTAGATATTCGTGAATGTGTTTTATTCTATATGATTAAATAAAACATAAAATTGAATAAAAGACAAGTCTACAAAAAAAATATTACTGTCAGGAATAATATTCATCGATTCTCAAATCTGGCAATCCACTATCAATACTTGGAATTGATTCAGTAAAAGGAATAAGCTTGCTTCCTCCACTAAAAATGCCTGCATATGATTTTTCGATATTTTCAAGATTTACTTTTGATTTTTTCAACTCTGATAAAATATTTTTATCATTTTTCATTTCATAAAAATTTCACAAGTTTTTTGGCTGATAGTCAGTTTTCAGGTTCTTTATCCCAACACACTTTCATAAGATTTATATAACATAGTGGAGCTTCTTTATTAATGGGTGGTTATAAGTAATTACAATATATTTTTAATTGAAGCTGTTGTTGACTAAATTTATGAAAATAAGACACAGACATTCCACATAAGATTTTCCACATAAGATAGCTGTGCAGCACACAGTGCTGCACAAGACTAGTACAATTAGCGTATTCTGTTTTTTTTTGCTAGTTTTGTTTTATATATATTTGGTTGGTATTTTTGAAGGTAGTTTTTTAGTTAGTGTTGTTAGCTGTTTTACTAATAGCATTTGACTGAGTTATCAAATATGTGTTAGTCTTGTTGTTTAAGTTATTAATAGGCAAATTTTTTGTTATTGTTATTGATTGGTTGGAGTTTTTTTTTTTTGATACTGTAAAATAAGCAAACTTGCCTAATGAAAATTTTAAAAAAAACGATAGTTGAAATTTTGTCTAATAAATTTTTAGTTTGTCAATTAAGTTGAATTAGTTGACTTAGTCGATTAGTGGTTGGTTAAGTTGTCTAGTTGATTAGGTTTTATCAGTTTTAAATACTAACTGAATGTTAGTGTGTAAGTGTCGTTCACGTGTTATATATAGTTTTGTTGGTGTTTTTTTTTTTTTTTGTGGTTTATTGTATTGCTTTTGAAGTATTTGATTAATAAGTGTTTGGGTCATTGGTTTTGTTGTATTATGTAATTTTTATATAGTATTTGAGTTCATATTTATTTGTTTTATAATATCCTTTATATTTTTTTATTTATTTATTTTAGATTAACGTGTGTTCTTATTGATTTTTGGTTTAATATTATTATTTTTTGCAGGTGTTTGTTTTATATTATGACATTATTGTTTTATTTTATGGTTACATTTTTTAGGTGATTTTGATAATTTAATTTTAATATTTTTTTTGATTTTAGTTTATTTGTATATATACGTGTATTATTTATGTATGTATATCGTGTTTGTTGTTTGTATGTTTTTATGTGTTAATTAGGTTATGTGATTTTCACATGTATTGATTTGGTTTATTATTTATTGTTTATATGAGTATTTTATTTTGTTGTATTTGTGTTTTGTTGTATTCGTTTATTAGTATTTGTAAATATTATTATTGTGCATGTGAAAATTATTTTTATTTGTTTAATTTGGTTAGGTAATTTTTTTTGGATTTCATGTATCGTTTTTTTTTTTTTGGATTGGTTTGATATATGTTTCGTGAGATTTTTTTTTTTTTTTTGAATGTTTAATTGTTATGTTATTTATCGTTTATAAGGGGTTTGATTTTTATATTTTTTTTTTTAACTTTTCAAGATGTCTTGTTGTGTTGATAACATTGTTAAAATAACTCAAGTTCGTCAAACTGATAAGGATGAATCAAATTTTTCTGTTGTTTGGGCTTTGGGTGTTTATCCAGTTGAAAGTGAGGATCACGAGATTGAAGTGACTCTTTTTGTTCCGGTTAATAAGGATGAAAGAGATCCTAATACTCAGTCAGTTTTTGTTAGAGGTGAATTTTATAGTGTTTGTGGAAAAGTTGTATCTGGAGTTTACAATGGCAAATTTCATTTAAAGATGAATTTGTTTTTGTCAATTTATGTTTTGTATTATTTTTATTTTTTTTTCTTTTGCTGATTCTTGTTAAATTTAGATGACAGCTTTGTCATCAATGCATCTTACTCTCCAAAGGGATCTTGGTTCAAATCATTGTTCCTTAAAAGTTTCTTTAGTAGGTGTTGCACAAAATTTTCCAAAGAAAATTGATAGTGAAAGTGCGATGTTTAAATTGTTGGTAAATGATTACGCTGGCAAGAATTTTAGTTTTGTTATTAAGATTGTTTTTTTATATCTTAATAGTCATTTTAAGTATCTTATGAATTCTGTTTGTCCAAATGAATCTGTTCTTTTTGTTGTTGGTCATATGGAAGATTTAAATGTATATGCTGTTGATACTTCTTTTGTCGATTTTTGTTCTGTGGGTAAGAGGAAAATTTCTAGTTTAAACGATTCTCAGTCTACATCTGGGTTGTATAGGTCAGTTCATTCAAAGTTTTTAACCGTTCATCAAAATGTTATTGAGAAGCCACCTGGAGTGTTTTTGGGTGAAGTGGATAAACTTCTAGTAGATTTAGATGTTACCAGTTCTTGTTCAAGACATACTAGAGTTGAAAATGTTGAGGATGATGATCTTTATGTTAAAGATATTAATTTTGTTTATAGTAATTGCAAGCAGTCAGTTGTAGATAGTAAAGTTCATGTAAATAATATTGATGAACATGATATTAGTGGTGCAAATGTTAGTGGAAGAAATATTTGTGATTCTGGTAAGGAAAATAAGGGTAAGGAGAAAGTTATTCAACCTGTAGTGCATAATATGAGAAGTCGTGTTGAAGCGGTTAAGGTTGTGAATGTTGATGAATAATTTTATTTTTTAGCTTATTGTTATTGTTTTTTTTTGTGTTATGTTTGATTGCGAGTCATTTATATATAATAGTCAGTTTTTATATTTTTTTTTTGTATATAAATAGCAATGCAAGTTTTTAGCGTTAATGATTATGTATATTTTTTTAGTTTTCAATAATTGTTTTTCAAGTATAATCATATTTTTAATTAATTCGTTTATTTTTTCTAATATTATTTTGTTTTAATAATGATTATGTTTAAAGTTTTTATTTTATTATTTCGAGTATTAAATTTTCGAAAGGTTTTGTTTCACGTGATTCGTTATTGATTACTTTCTAGTGATCATAGTGATTAGTATTACAATTAATTTATTTATTAGTGATTAGTATCACAATTAATTTATTTAATGGTGATTTTTATATGTGGGTAATTAATTAGGGTTATATATTTATAAGCAAAATTATTAAATGATGTAATTAATTTTATTGTGAGATTTTCATATCAAGGCAATTATTTTTTTTTCATTTTAGTTAATGTTGTTATTGTTTAAGTTATTGATTTTTTTTTTATTTTTAGTCATAATGATTGGTATTAGGACACGTAACTACTGTAATTGTTTTGTTATTTTCAAGAGCTTTTCAAAGCATTCAAGTTCTTTTTCAAGATCTGAATCTATAGTTATGTTAAGTTTCGATTGATTAAAAGGTCTAAGTATCATTATGTCTTTTAATTTCATAAATACCTGCTCTTTTATTTCCACCATCTAAATCAACTATAACTTTTTCTAATGTAGCGCCTTGACATTTAAATTCTGTCACTGCAAAAGCTGGAGTGATAGGTAATTGTTTTCTCTGGAATTCTCGAGTTATGTCTGTCCCATCTCTTGTTTTATGAGCATATTTACATTTTCGTTTAATGGAGTAAATTGGTACATGATTCGGTAGAAGACCATCATACTCATTCGGTTTTTGGTTAAGAATTTCTATTATAATGTATTTAGGAGGTTTGTTGAAAATGATAATTTTTTCCTTCTCGTCATTTACATTTCTTATAACCGATGTTGTAACATCATATATTATCTTATGAAGTATGCCTCGGGCTCCATTAACCATGCCATTACTTGTGTATATATTTATCGTTAAAGCTACTTTCATGCCTATTAATAGTGGAATTATGCAACATAGAGTATTTGATTTTGTGTCTGTTATGCTTAAAAATTTTTGTCGTATTTTACCACAGATAGGTTTGTATTTGTACGTGTCTTCAGCACAGATATAATAGATAGGTTGATTGTTGTTTTTTTGCATGGTCGATAGTGGCTTTGAAATTGATTTGTATTCATAAATCATTTCGTCAGACTAAAAATATGGCATTTCTCCATTCAGGCATATTTATTTTTCTTTCTGTTATTATACGATTTTGGAGTGTTTCATACTGTGACGGCATTATTTGACCACATCATAAATCGTTCAGTATTGTTGAATATTTTACGTTATTGATTTGATGCATTTGTTGTTTTAGTATTATTACATGTTTTGCTAATTTTCACAGTTCTCTTCTATTTATATTTATTAAAGTTCGAACGTTAATAGATTTTGTAAGATGAGAAGTTATCATTTTTTAATATTGTTGGGTTTATATAAAGGTAAATCGAGAACTGGGGGAAGTTGTACAAAATCGCTACAAAAATTATGTTTAAGCCGGCGAATAGTACGGTATTATCTTTTGGATGTTTTGCTTCTTTAAGGCATGCATGAAACTTGGTTAATAGGTCTTGTCCTATCATAGAGATTTCATCTATGACGACGTATTCTATATTTGTCCAGCGATTTTGGAGTTTGTTCATTTTGAAAGTTGTATTTATAGTTTTCATTATCATCATCATCAAATTTAAATCCACACAAGGAATGTAGGGTGCATCCTCCGATATTCGACGCGGCAAAGTCGGTCGGTGCACAAACTGCTAGAGTTTTTTTTTGTTTAATTAGATTAAAGTATTCACGGATTGCCTCAATTATTTTTGATTTCCCAGTTCCCCCGGCACCGCCTATATATATTAATAATTGTGATAGTTTATCAGGGTTACTGGGATAATTGCATTTATGATAATCGCAAATTAGTAGAACAGCTTTCTTTTGTTCTTCATTTAGATTTATTAAAATTTTTTGTAGTGGGTCTACATTGTATAGTTTTGTTCGTGAGTTATGAGTATTTGTGAAAAATTCAGGTATATGAGTTTCATTACTAGTTTCATTTTTGTCTATCCATTTTATTTTTTTTCTTGATGCAATTATTTCTTGCCATCGTTGAATTAGAGAATTGTCATTTTCATCCGAAGGTCGGATTCGGTTGTTGTTATACAAATTACTAATTTCACTTTGAAAATTCAGTTTAGTTTTAATATTAAATTTTTTTTTTAGATATAAGTGTAACATGGCATCGTTGACAAATTTTATATTCTTTAATCCAGAACGCATAATCATATACAGGTCTAAGATTATACTATTAGAATCATCATCTATTTGCTCATCTAACAGTTTTATATCATTATCAAGTATTTTATAACCAACTACAGTTCTTTCTATCCATCAGATTTTCGCATATTCAGGATTTTTAAGTGACATTTTACGTAATCTACGGTCTAACTCTGTTTCTTCTGTGCATCGATGTAAAAGTTCAATATTTTCAATTATCGATCATAATCATGGTATTAGATTTTGTTTTTCTAAGAATGTATTACATGCTTCACGCCACGAATTGTGTTCTGTTATAAGGTCATATGCAGTATTCTATGGTTTAAAAAGCATGAGAATGCAAAGACCATAATGTTCTGTATTTTCAGGGTCATCTTTGCGTGGTATTCCTTTCCCGCATAGAACAGGGATTTTTTCACTTTCATGGCACCAATGGATCTATATATGCGTTGAATATTGAGAATGCATAATGTTATAATTACAGGCTTCGTTACATTCCACTTCTCTGCCTTCAAAGAGAAATCTATCCACTCTTGTAGCTCATCCATCTTGATTTTTCTGCCTTGCAAGTTTATCAAGTTCCTTATTATTTATTTTTATTTTATGGATCATCACAGCATAGTCATAAAGACATATAATTTCTAATTGTCTTCCACAGTTCATGTAATCAATTCATAAATTAATTGTAACTATTTTTCTATCTAAGTTAGTTATTGTAAATATCTCATCGTTATTATTATCATTTTCTTGACATAGTTCATCATCTTCGTCTGAACTATTGTCACTTTGATTACTTGAAGTCATTGATTTAAAATATTGTTTAATCGGATATTGCGAGGTTAAGTATAGCTCAAAAGAATTTAGATTAATTGTAATAAATTTTTTTGGTGTATAGTGGTCATTAATGCCTAGAAGATATGCTAATACTTGAGGTTCAGTCATTTCTGTTTGTCCTATAACTTTATTAAGACACATTGTTATTAGTCATCGTGATCTTATCATACATTTATTTGATGATTCGTTAGGTAATTTAATCATAAACTTATCCAAAGTTATAGCGCACATGAGAAATGAGTTATGTGTACTTGTGTTAGTTTTGGTTATGTAATCCGTAATGTAGTGGATATAAGCCAGTGCTAATTTAACTGTTGCAATAAACTTAATATTATTATTTCCATAGCTACTAGCTGTTATATAGGGGTTATGATTATTAATATTAGCATTGAGTCATTGAAGAATGATAACTCCTAGTTCAGGGTAAATTTTTCTGGGTGGTTCGACCAATTCGCAGGGAAAGTCAAAGTGACAGTTAGATGTTCTGCCATGATGGTATTTTTTACATGTTCTAGTACACTTGTGAACAAGTGCACATTTCACAATTGCAAGAACATCAAGATAAAATCCTTTATCAAAATTAGGAGATTTAGGGTCCAGGATAGGTAAAAATGATAGATGAATTTTTTTTTCTTTACCTATTTTTTGTGTTTTATATTCATCATTTAACATTTCATCAGTTACATAATTACCATCAGGGAAAAGATAACTAATATCTTCCTTTACGATTTGATTTATATATTCCATTAATTGTATTCCAAATTTTTTTTCATTCCGAAGACAATTTCGTATTTCTTCAGGATTAAAGGCCCCATAAAGCCAAATTAACATATGGCAGTGCAGTGTATCACGATCTTGGTACTCTGTTACCACATAATAATTTTTTATCTCACCAAATACACCACCATCCGATTTTCTATAACCAAGAATAGTTTTGATTATATTTCTTATAAGCAAGTCATAATATTTAGCTACTGCAGTCAGATTAAGGTAAGCTAACTTAGCTCTGTCAGTTGCGGTGGGAAAATTTTCAGAGAGCAAATTATTTACGTCAATTTTTTTTCCTGCGTACATCATTATGATTGGACTGTGGATATCTGCAGGATTAATCGTTACGAATAATGAAGGCACACCATCTCGTATGGTAATAGCACAAATTTCATTACGAAGGTGTTTACGCAACTGATTAGATCCCATAATTTTTTCACCGATGACATTGATATTTCTTAGTAACTCAAGTACAGAGTTATTAGTCACAGGTTGTTTATTCTGTTCCTGTTTGATCGCAATTTTCATGTCATGTGATGTAAGTCTTGAAATTATATCAGCAGATTTTTTGAAATTTGCTTGTTTTGTCATTAAATATGTTCTCGTGGCAATGTCTTTTCTATACAAAATATCAAATGTGGCAAAAATAAATGAACGATGGTGTCTAAATTTACTATCATTAAGTCGTAATAAATGTTCAATATATTGTATAAATAGCACATGTTGTTTTCTAAGTTCATTTTCATGGCCACCAATTTCATAGAGAAATAAGACTGGAAATGTGGCGGGTAAAAGTGTTGGATTGGTATATTCATTTTTAGATTTGTTCGAATATGGCATTAAAATTATATTTGAATTACCTTTTCTATTATTAGACGATTTTTGTACAATTTTTTTGAGTAATTTCAATGTGCGGTCTTTT